ACCAAAGAAGGTATTGGCATAAGATCCTGAAAGGACGGACTCTCTGTGGACCAGAGGGGCAGTTTGTGCTGAACTCTTTGCTTTAAATGGAGCCTCCGAAACTCACAACGTTGGAGCAGCGGCCACACGGGGCCGAGACCCCTGAAAGCCTTCGATGGCACATCCATTGATGGTGTTTTCCACGGGGGGGTGGGGGGGGGGCTCGGACCTCATGGGTTCGTTCCTAATGAGCGCGTTGGGCTCACCATCATGATCCATACAAGACACTCTGTGCTCCGCCGAGTGGAACCTTTCCTCGGGCAGCCCGCTCAAATTGCCAATTTCTCGCAGACAAATGACTCTCTCCTGTGTATGCCCCCCCCCCACACACTCATTTATCTTCTGCCTCACTCTTTCTAATAGTACTGTAAACACTCTGTCATGGTTTGTATTGTACCCCACGGGGGGCGGTGACTATTGGGCTCCTGTTTGTAAACCTGGTTCGGAGACCCACACGCCTCTCGACTGCTTCAGATTCCATCAACTTCTGTGACAAGGTCCATCGGTGGGGTCGGCTCGGTGGTCCGAGGAGGCTGAATAGAAGAGAGGGGCAGAAAACGCTTTGACTGGTTCCTCGAATGCAAAGAAAGAAAGAAAGAGACTAAACTAGTTTTAGTCCGGTGTGTCAATCAGGAGAGTAACTCTGTGACGGTCGCTGAAGCTCCGAGTATAAAGACTCAGCAGCTCAAATAATCACAAAGCTGGACATGCTTGACACTTCTATTTGACATTCCAGTACTTTTTTTTGTGCATTTACTTAACGGATGTTTTATCTTGTGTGATGGATTCTTTGTTACTTCCTCGGTCATCCAGCTTCTTCCTCTCGTTTCGGGACTTCCTTGTAATCGAACCCCCCCCCCGTTGTGCTGACTCAGCAGGAGACCTCCAAGGCCGCGCGTCTGGATGTGGTTTTAATAGGAAAGGAAGTGGCTGTTGGAGCAGGTCTACAGCTGGGGGGGGGGGAGGTGGGACCCGGTGACAAGGGCAGGGGGGGGGGGGGGGGGTGTTTTGCCCCGGGGGGAAGGTGGGAGTTTCAGGGGGGAAAGCTGATTCTGTATCTTCTCTGCCAAAGGTCCGCTCCGTTTTCCGGTTGATGACGCAGCACATCGTTAACGGGGGGGGGGCGAAGCCTCCTCCTCAGAGAGGATGGGACGAACTCGCTCTTGGGACCAACCAACCATTTTAATAGGCGCAGGGTGGGAAGGAATGAGACGATGGGTGTCGTCTTAGCAGAGAAACGGGTGCTGCGGTCGGACTTTCAGCCACTTTTCAGCCATCAGCGGTCAGCGGTGTCTGTAGGAGCCGGCTGATTTGTGCTTTTCCATCTCTACGTATTAATTAATTCGCAGATGCCCTTTTAAGCTTTACCCTGTGAGGTAAATTCATTTGAAAAAGTAATGAAACATTCATAAAGATTTGAACCCAGTCAAGAGTGTGTGCTGTGATTTAACAGCTGTCTTGTCTTTCAGTAGCCAAACCAACATCAACATCTCACACGGCCAGTTTTTATCTACGCAGTGCGCCGTACGGCCGGCTTTGGCTTTGAGGCGGGTCGGTATCACCGGTGCGTTCGTTTTCGACGCGCTCCGCCCCGGTGGGAATCAAAGCCTGAATCCCGGAGGAGTATCTCCGTGCTGCAGGAGCGCTGCTCAAGGACAAACCAAGGACTCTGAAATGTTTCTGATACTTGAACCATGTTTTCATCTCTGGTGTGGTGTTGGATCCGGTATCACAAAGGTTACAAAGTGCACCGCGCTGGATTGTCCAAACTTCTTGATCTCCACAACCCAGCTGGCAGCGCTTTCAATGCACCAGCGCAGCGATCTGCAAAAGCAGCAGCAGCAGCACACTTCAGGCCACGCGGGCGGCTCATTAGCACACAAGCAGAGAATAGGAGTAGAAGGTGAAATTCCCTCACCTGCACTCCTCACCGGTGTTTTTAATCTAATGTTCTCCTTTTGAAACCGAAGATCGGCGTCTTACGGAGGAAATACCGAGCAGCGTGAACTATTCTCCTCTCGGGGGGGGAAAAGTTCATACGTGGGAGGAAACGCTGGAAACGGCTGAAGCACAGTTTCAACAGCTAGTCATTTGAGTCTTTAGTCATTTCATCATGTTCCACAGTTACTGCGGTTTGCCATTGGTGAGATTATTTAAATATTAGCAGCCTTGAACCTTCAGAAGACATTTGACTTCGTTTAAACTCCAGATTCACATCATTCCCTCTGGCCACATCTCATTATGCCGTCTCTTCCTCCGTCAAGACTACTTCTGCTTGTTGTCTTTCTCCTCTCTTGTCCCTCCGTCTATCTGTATAGATTTATAGAAAATGGAGCCTTGTTTTTTTAACACCGCTTCCCGTTGTGGACAGTTTATTTTCTTAAAAGCAAAAGGATCACCTGGGCTCATTCTGCGCTCGTGTTGGATATAACGTATAAATAATTGCTAATGCAACGCTGTCTGTTCCCTGACGTCGTCGGATCGCGCGTCGAATTCGCGTGACCTCGTTGTCATCGGCGCGTCGAGCCCCTCGGCGTCGAAGCCCCCGGGTTGCTTGTGATCACCGGCTCTGGTTGAACGGTGACCAGCTGGTCGGACAAAGGAGAAAGAAAAAGTAAGAACACATTTTATCAGAGTGTCGTGCTTGAGAAGAAAAGAGAACACAGACGCCCAATTTCACCAGTGCAGCTATTTGCTGGATTATTGTCACCACGGCTGCTTGTTGTCTCCATGAATCGTCCACGAAGAGAGAGAAATGCCCATCATCGTTCCTCAACGCCAGTTGGGCAATATTAATCCCTTTCTTTTAGCATCTATTAGAGTGACGTCGTCCCTGATTGATGCCTCCGTTCCACATCTCCTGCGCCTGCAGTCGTTCAGTGCGAGCGAACCATCTGCCCGTTTTCTGCCCCCGACATTAATTTGACGACGGCTGTAAAAGCCCATTTCCCCCCTCGCGGGTGTCATAACGCCGCTTGATGGCCTCCTCGCAGACGGCCCGACACGCAACGGCCCTTCGAGCAAAGTGGGACGCAGAGCTTCAGCGCGTCGCCTGATCCCACGTTTCTGTGCACTTCCTCCTCCGCGCATTCATTTTTACACTGTTTGCAAAAGCCGACCGAGAAGCGAGACAGGATGACGTCGTGGAAGATGGAGTGCGTTTCAGACGTGAGCAGAACACCCCGTCGCGTCGGGTATTTTCGGACCCCCTTGAAGGAAGTCATTACCGCCGTACGCCGTGTGGCCTAACGTGCATTATTAGTATTTGGCTCTTTTGCTGTTTAAAATGCCGCCTTCCCGAGATGAGAAAACAACAGCGGTGACCCGAACGTGTCGTTTCCTGTCACAGTTTCTCCGTGCGCGGCTTAAAGCGTTGCTTTCACAAAATGCCAAATCGCAAATTAAACCGGCGCTGTACAGCTTGAAAATAGTTTAATGACATATAATTCCCGTCCCCCCGTAAATCAAATCTCAGCTCCCTGACCCGCAATCGCTGCTCCATGAACCTGAAAGACATTTGAAAATGTAGTAGAGCATTCGTGTCTGTTGTGCACGTCGTGGTTGTTTCGTGGTGTCGACTGTCTGCAGCTTTGTGCTCTTTGAGGACGCATTCATGTAGATGTTTATTTTTTATTTTTACGAGGGACGGGAGCCTCGTGCAGTATTGACAATACAGATGACATCCCGTTACCGCGAACATCCAGAGAGAAGAAGAAAAAAGACAAATCAAATCCGTCCGGCTTGTTTGTTTCATCGTGCTGTGAAAAACAATCGGCGTGGACATCGTTGAAAGCCCTCGAGTCGAGGATTCTCAGCGAATACAATTAGTTTTCAATTTATTTCAAGACGGTTTAGTTCAGATGCGCAGGAATCAGCGCGGCATCTCTTTGATGATGGTACGAAGAAAAAAATAAAACCATTCATTACCTTAAAAGTACCCCGCTGCTCGGCTGCAAAAGTAATGATTGCGGCCTCGTCCTTACGGGACTATTTCTCTACTGTCTTACATCAGGGGACATCAAACCCGAAATAAAAGAACCAAGAGGCACGTTCTCATCCGAGATTCATTTCCATAACATCAAGGTGCATCGTCGGCTCCCCACTGGGTCAGCATCCTCTTCCTGTGCCGGGACATTTTGCCGATGCGTTCCTCTCACATCTCAGAACTCCCCGTTTAAGCTCTGAAATTCCTCCCAAAATTAATCAGCCGCAATGTTTCAACAAACACCAAAAGGACTGACGCGGCATTTGGTGCAGATTTTGAATGAAACCGTGCAGCACGATGCCTCCGTGGTCTCTCCACTGCTTCTGGTTCCGCTTTTATCAGACTGCATCATCAGGTCAAACGTTCTAATCGTTGCACCACTGGACTCGCCGGTGTGAACGTGGTAAACGTGACACCTGCTCCCATCGTCTCCCGAGCGGTTATTGTGAGGTGTGACATGTTTGGAACATCTCGTGTGGGTTTAACTGTTGCTCTGTTGGAGGAGATGGAATCATCATGCGTGTGGATCTCGTCTTGTAAAAGCATCGTGAGCATGTTGGTGTTCTCCTTTTTTTTTTTTTCGTGGATGTTTGCAAATTGAATTAAAATGTTCCAACTTTTCCCCTGCGGGACGAGGAGCATCGCTCCACGCTGCGCCTCCCCTTTCCTCTTCCCGGTCGCGCTTTCTCTGTTTTACTGCATCAAAGTTTCCTTCTTCACTTCATATCGAATCACGTCCAGATCAGAGCATCAATTTCAGAAGCCCTTTGTTCTTATCTGCAGAACCTGCCTTTGTTCTGCCGACGTTCTTCCAGCTTTAATGTTCCAGACGTGTTTCCCTTTCTGCCTTTTCCTTAACTGACCAACAGGCCGCCGTCCCTCCCTTTGAACCGGTCTAATTACGCCCGGCTTTGAAACGGTGTGATCAGTCGAGTGACCAGTATGTCTGCCCCCCCCCCACCCTCTTATGTTGCAGATGATGAAGTTTTCCTGGGACAACTACAAGCGCTACGCTTGGGGCAAGAACGAGCTGCGGCCTTTGACGAGGAACGGCCACATTGGCAACATGTTTGGTGAGTGGGGCTCAGAAGGCCGGAAAAGGTCACAGCGCGGGGTTCATCTCCAGCCCGAGGTCAACTCGGGTCCTGGGAGGTTCTGATGGGCCTTTAGTTGTTTTACAGGCAAAAGGACTATTATACAGTTATATTAAAAACCTGATAAATCACTTTTCCAAAAAGGCGTCGCGGCCTCATCAGCACGGCGCTGTTTTCACACCAAACGCGCAAAAACGAAAAGCAAATGACTTCAGTCAGTCAACAATGACAACAAAAGCTTTTCTTTTTCTCTATTTTTTTTGCACCACTTTTCCAAACAAATGCGCAACGAAGTTTCATGAGAAAAATCTCCTGTTCTTTGTGGGTTGAAAGGCAACACGTGGCACCCGTGTGCGTCTCAGTGAGCTTTTGTCGCCGCGTCTTCTCTACCTTTCGCTCACAGGAGAAAATAGGGCCGTGTCTCTCGTACCTTCGTTCTCCCTTCTTATGACGAAGACCAGTGTAGCAGCGAGCGCTTTCCATCGAAACCAGAACCATCAAACACTCTTTAACGCTCATCTTTAACTCACTGGCACAAGATGGCAACAACAATTTATCGTCCCTTCAATTTCATCTTTTTTTTGTCAAATTCTTCAAATAAGAATCAACAGAACAATTCAATGAGAGAACATTTTCATGTCACTTTAAAGCGCTTTCACTAGCAAATGCTTACAAACTAAATAAAACAGAGTGAAGCCATATTGATAACAATATTTATGTTATTACCTTTTATTGAATTTATTCAACAGGGCTGATATTCTGTTGAATAACCTTTTAATCCGCTGTAAAGAGTACAGGACGTCTATTATTAAGATATCTTGTGATGTAACATATCACGAGGAAGGAACGGCATTGGAAACTAATGAACTGCACTGTTGTCGATGCTAAAACTTGCGTGTAGTCTGTTTGTGCCGAAGCTGAATCTCGTGACCGCCGCCGGGCAGGAAGGAGGCGGCCGGCAACGAGCCTCGACGTGAGCGCGCTGAGATGTGGTGGTGAGCACATTAGCAAACAATCCCTACGCGTTGCCGACACACGCTGTGGAAAGAGAAACCTCAGCGTCCCATTAGAGTCGTCTCTCGCGCCCGTGGAGGTTCTCTCTGCCGCATCGGGACGACGGAGAGTCCACGTAGATGAACTAAATCGGCAAAAAGAAGAAAGCAGCGGTTCCCAAGCTCGAGAATGCCGCGGCCCAATTTGAAATCTGAAAATCTCTTGCGGCCCACCCAAAACCTTTCACCACAACTCTGATCAAAACATAAACTAGGGATGATTAAATGACCTTAAGATTAAAAATGTAATAACCGACAATGTATGTTTTGTGTACCATTTTCTCCGGAGCTCATATATATTTACTTTAATACTACAAGAGGCGTCCGTCCCATTTGACATTGTTTTGTTTGGCGGCGCCTTTTGTTGCATAGCGACAGGCGGACAAGAGCAGCTGTTTTGAGCGGGAGCCTTATTGTTTTATTAATCTGTTCGTTTAAATAGTCCGTGCTTCATCAACTAATGTTTCACATGACTAATGTGCCGCAAGAATTGTTCTAATACTTAAACTGAGAAAAAGATGTGCATTTTGCGTCTTATCAATCGTAATTAAAATCATAACTATTGTTATATTAATTTCAAACTTTTTAAAATTGAAAATTAAAAACATTTTATTTATTTATTGTAAATGACCTGCAGTACACTTTGGGAATCGCTGGTATAAAGTATGGTAACAGATCACAGTCTAAATTAATATTCTTAACAAAATAGTCACCAAATAATTAGTCTATTTTTTAAATAGAAATACAAAAATATGACAAATTTAGCAGGAAGTGACGCTCCGTAGAAAACGTGTATGGAATTAATATAAAATAAACAAATGAACTTTGATGCTCGATCCCTTCACAGCAGAATCCGGCCGACAATAACAACATGGTATTAAAAGCGGGAACAGAATAAGCTGTTTGCCGCTGGGAGTGGATGAAACAGTGTGGGGGGGTCGGTGGGGGAGGGGGGGAGGGGTGCGACTCCATTGTTATAATCCCATAAGTAAATGCATGTTCCCCGTTGCGCGTGAAGCCGCCGTCCTCGTCCTCTCGCGGTGCCTCATCCGCCGGTCGGAGGCAGAAGACAGAAAGGCCGCCGCGCTGAGCGAGCCGACGTCACGTTGGGGAAGGGCGGCGCGGGAAGCCGGGGTATGAAATTGGATGCTGTGTTCTTTAATTTAATCCCCCCCCCACCCCCGGAGTAAACAGATTCGCGGGGCGAGATTGGATCGGCGGTCAGAGCGACGTCAGAAGCTTGTCAATATGCTGCGAGTCACCAGAACATCCCTTCTAGCTCCACGATCCACAAGGAGCACAACACGGATCACAGAGAGGCGCCGGGAGACGTTTTCCTCCGCTGCAATCCTCCTCTGGCACACTTTCACTTAACTGTAATCTTCTCCTCAACCCCCCCCCCCACACATTCCTTTTCTACTGTAATCCCTCTCCTCTTCCCTTTGTCATGACCCTCCAGGCTGGAAGCAGCTCTGGCTTTGTTCTTTCCTCTTAAACCAAAGTTGGTTGGGATAGGCTTGTTTTTCGTCTTCTCTTATTTCCCCCTTTTGTTCATTTAAAATACGTCTTTTAGTGCTTATTAAAAGTTTATTTTATCTTGCGGCGATTGGAAGAAGTAAAACTTTCCCCGTGAGACTGTGTGGGAGTTCTCACACGCTGAGGACAGGGTTTCCAGGAAAAGCTCAAATGTACTCATTCATATTCTTCTTTCCTTAAGAAAAGCCCTTTGAGGATCACGTGGACACATTACATCACATGTGGAAACACTGCTGTAGAAAAAACAACATCCATATTTTCTTTAAACCGTATCAAAGTTCCACCAGGTCTCCAGCTCCCCTTTGATTGCATCAGATTACTTTGTGTCATGATAATCATGTCTAATATTAAATCTCCTGAAGCATGATGGAATTACGGAGAGCAAAGGGATGAGATCAAGGGCAGCTTCCGCTGCAGTGTGACTGACGACTACATTTGCTGCGTTTACTTTTATCTCCAGCCTCAGAAATCGTCATTAGTTCTGGTAAAATATGACAGAAAGACATGAGCTCAAAGCCGCGGATGAACAGCCGCCGCTTCCCACCGAGTAATGAAAGGGGCCGAGTGCTCCTAGTTTGGAGAGTAAAATTATAGAGCTCGATTTTAGAATTGAATGACATCACAACCTCCGTTATGGAAGATGTTATCTTCTCCTGAAGAATGTTGTTTTTAGAGCATGTTGATTTAATGGGGAAGGAGTTTAGCTGCTGGGTTCATGCAGGTTTATTTGTTTCTATCCACGGATTCTATCACCACCCGCATGCTTAGTAGGTTAAGAGGTTAAGAGGTCAAACCAGACGGATGCTGTCTTTTTACAGTTCAGTATTTACTGCCTCATATGTGCATATTTGAATAACTTCACTGTAATATTTCTTCGCTGGCGTTGCCAGCTGTTCCCACTGTGACCGACACGAATCGCCGCAGAAGGTCAATCGGATGATCTGCAGGAGGCCCAGTGCGCCGCTCTTGTACTTTCGGTACCAATGAACCTCTGAGCAGGAGCCTTCTACCGGAGTTGAAGCTGGCGGCTGCAAAGCTGCTCTCGCACGTGCGACGCAACCGCTTTGCTCGAAGCAAACTCTGGTCCATATGCTCGGCGAGCGGCGGTTCGTTTGGGTCTCCGATGAGATCTGTCAGACACGACTGCCGTGTTTACTCCTCTGTCTGTTTGTCAGTCGGAGTAAACAGAATCTGTGTGCGGTAAATATCACCCCGGCGAGCGGCACTTTGTCTTTTTCCTGCTGCTTCGTCTGGTTTCTCTTCTCCTTCGTTCTTGTTGCTCCTCTCTCGCTGTCAAGGGAGGATCGTGGATGATTTCGCGTGGAAGCCAGTCGACGGGGCAGGGAGGTGTCAGGGGAGGACGAAAGGCTTCACGCTGTTGACCGAACTCCAGAGTGTCCATGCAAACGTATTTAAGAGAGTGGGGCAAAAAGTCCTTTGTGGACATTGGTTAGCCGTTGCAGACTCGGTGCAGGAAAAGTGTTTTCCGGCGTTTGCCTCCCAGAGCTCTCGCGTCCTACTTTACGGCGGAGAGCATTAGCTCACAGCGTCAGCCTCTGTATTTACAGCTTATCTGTGAGCGCGACGGAATGAAGCCGTCAGCCCTTGAATCTCAAAGATGACGACGATGAACAGAGACGGGGAATTATCAGCGAAGGTAACGCGTGTTACACAGAGGTGCAAGAGAAGATACTGATCCTCAACTTACCCCAGGTCCCAACAAGTAAAGATAAGCAAAGCCTATCGAGGATGCTTCTTTTTGGGGATGTTTTGATGTCTTTCTCCTAAAGCATTATCACCCCTATTGAGATAATTCCGTTTGTGGATGATCTTGCTTTCAATTGAATTACTCGCTAAGAAGTTTGTGCCACCTTGTTTGCGTGTTTTGTTCTGCGGCGTCTTTCTTCATCCCTGTTTTGAAACATCACCATTCGCCGTCCGTGCAACTGGAAGCAAACAGGGTCGGACAGATTGTTTGTGTTATTAATGCTCCATCACCAGAGCCCTGTGAGCGAGGCTGTTTCCTGTGAAAGAGAAAGGCGATCCAGGAGAGATCTATTGTGACGGCGGCTCTTGGACGGCCCCTGGATGCGTTATTCTCGTCCCTTTGTCACCAGCGTGGGAATAAAAGCTGGCGAATGGGTCCCTGAAGTCAACTCTGTCCACCTATCAAAGCGTCCTCGAAGCCCTGGACGTATTTTCTGTTCGCTTTTGGCCACAACAAAGATGTGGGAGGGAGATTGATTGGACTCCTGCGCTTACCTCTTGTAAAGCAGAGTCGGGACTCGGCTTGCAGTCTTTGTGCAGAGCTAAATGTCTGATGGCCGCGGCTGGATATTTGGCAAACAGACTAGAGGGGGGGTGGGGGGGTGTCAATCCTCACTCTTTAGC